TTTGCAAACAAGCACATGGAAAAATTCGTGAGGTCGGCTGATTTGTTCCGTGGCTTAGATGGCATAGCGTCTGGCACGGTTTGCTAGAAGACGTCGGTTCGAATCTGGCCGGATCGAAGGAATTTTTTCTGTGTTCTATCTTTGTATTAATAATTATAACAAAGTAGTAGAGTGAAACTATTTTTCCGGATTTAAATCGCGTATATTTGTTTTTTCAAACAAACCGACGTTTCGGGCCCTTTACAGGTCCCATGGTCACGGTTATACGCGATTTAAATCCGGAAAAATAGTTTCGTTTCCTATGTGTAACAATCGCGAAAACCTAAGAACTCGATAGTAGAGTGATTTTACAAAAAATATTTGAGTATTAATTCAATTTTATTAGCACTTAATTATATCTGGCCAATCGTTATGTGCGGCAGCGAGGCATAGACCATTAAAGAAAAAACCATCCAATGAGTCTCGTTGCATTCGAAATGTGGTACTACCGCCGCATGATTCGCGTATGTATACTGGATGCAGAGAGTCAAGAACGAGACAATACTCCTGCGCATTAATACCTCACGCCAGCGGATGCGGACCATCAAGAACAGCAAATTCACATATCTCGGTCACGTGTTTCGACACGATAGGTAGCGACTGCTTCAACTTATAATGATGGGAAAGTTTGAAGACAAGAGACGCGCTGGAAGACGTAAAAAGTCATGGCTATGCAACATAAGGAAGTGGACCGGAGTCACGAGCTGTTTCGTTTGGCCTTAGACAGGGACAAATTTGCCATATTGACGGCCAACCTTCAGTAGTGGAGAGACTCTTTAAGAAGAATTTAATTATAAATTATAAAAATAGGAAGTAAAACATATAACAAACGTTAATTAAATTTTACATTTCATAATAAATATTTTTTTGTTATGCAAGGCTGCAAAGTTGTTGTTTAACGTTAGTGCTTGTATTGAAACCTGAGTAAGCGAAGGAAGCTCATCATCAATTTTTATTCTTCCTTGTACTTTTTGGTTTGGGTGATTAAGTGATTGAAATTATTTTAGTTCTTCGACCAATTAAAATAATTTAATAAACACAATTAGTTGTCATTGTTAATTTAATGTCAACAATAATAAGAATAAAATATACCAACGGATTTATATTAATACATAATGTACGACAAATCGCGTAGTTGAACGTGTCATTATCGTTTGTTTTTTTTCATCGAAAGAAAAAGTTACGTGCACCACAGAGTCCATCGTCAAGTTCGAATTTCAAAAACCTTTTCCACGCTAGCGTGAAAAAAACGCTTTTGCACGCAGAATTCTAATGAGAAAGAAAGCCTTTCCGAACTAGTGAGGTGAAAATACAGTTGCTCAAAACGTGGTGTTTTTCGTACTACAAATCGTGGCGAAAGTTGGAATTTTCGCACTAGTGCTTTTTACTTTTCCATTTTTTTTAAATTTACTGTTGTTTCAAATCTTAAGCACAGAACTAAAGAAGTTGTATATTTATTTAATATTTATGTGCTTTGTGACGTAAGTCATTCGTCATTAAAACTTATATTTATTTACAAATACTATATAATGAACGTATCGAGTGGAGGTCCACAGTCTCTGCCTACCCCTGAATGGGTGACAGGCGAGATTTTTATGTATATATTTGTTCTATGTATTACAGATAAATTGTATCTCACTACCGTGCACGGGTTCCTAAAGAAGTTTAAACAAAAGTACCAGGACTTCATAATAAGTGGTTACAGACCGATATTACAGAAAATAAACAAAAACAGCACGTTAGAACTAGATTTCCATAGACTTTTAAATAATGGTTGCAGTGGTTGTATTTCATTATTTTAATTTACTAGCAGAAAATGAGTTTTTTTAAATACTGTTTTATTTTACTTTCAATGTAGTTTTTTCGCAAATGTATTAAAAAACGTCGTTTGATACACGTGCGGATTTGTCATTTTCACTTGTCTCGGGTCTTGACCCTCGCCTCTGGCTCGGGCCAAGAAGCCTCGAGACTCGTGAATAATGATTAACTTTCCGGACTTATATCAAAAATAACTATTACTTCATACCTAAGGTTGATATGTCCGTTAATAATGGATTGTACAAAAATATTCGGTTGCATACTATTTATTTGTTAAATTTCGTTATAGAACATTTACTGTTAAGTCCATTTGCAATTGTAATTTTCATATTTTATTGATCTTGAATTGTTGGTTTAAAGTTACGTAAAAGATTGTAGCTGAAACCGTGAAACAGGAAAAATATTTTTGCGCGCATGGCGATAGTGGGGCCATCTTTATCGGAGGTGTTTTTAAAAGGTTGAGTGGCGTGGACTGGCATTCTGTTACTGATTTTCGACCAAATGAGTGAAAATATTATTTATTGTACTCATAGACGTGATGACAACAAAAAAATACAAATGAGAAATAAACGTCTAAGTAATTAGACTCCAAACACGGGATTCGCTCTGGACCTTTTGGAGGGAAAAGTTTCGTTTTTATTTTGACTTTCAATTATTTTGTGAAATCTAGTTTAAAGTGGAATAGAATAGTGCTATTGTGCCTTAATAGAAGATTAAAACGCGAAATTATACGAATGTCGAACTAGAATACCCGTACCGGCCCGTTTTAAGGAATCCCGAGTGAATCCAAACACGCCTCCTCAAATTCCCTATCCTCTTTGTGGCGGCCATATTTACAGAAACATAATTAAACTTCATGTTTAGGCTGATGGCTTTGCCAAAGCCTTAATAAATAAATAAAAAAACTCCAAACACGTAATTTATTACACTTGTTTAGTTTATTTCGTTAAATGGTCGTGTTTTATTAATTTTCTACTACAAAATATTTTGATGCAATTTTGAAAACAATACCATCAATACAATAAACCGATTTTTATATCGCATGCTCCGCCAATATCGTAAGCTGATTACTTCCCTACAATATCCAAACTCATTAAAAATGGTTTCACAAAGGCATTTTGAAACGTATCGATCTGCGGTTCAGCACAACAAAGGTGTTATTACGGCTTTTCAGCCCCATTTCGAAATAAATACTTGGTGTAATATAAGTTTACAACAAGAAATTATTTGTTTTTTATTATTTGTTGTTTTGTTTTAGCGGATGTTTAAAACCAAAGTACAAATTAACAGAGGAACCCGCACTAACTCTAGACTTGTATCGTAGACACATCACCAATTTAATTTAGTGCACTTTAAAATGGGTCACCCGTATGACGAGCTGTTCAAATCGCGTCAAGGACGTTCCTAACCAATAATTGATTTTCCATCAAGTGAGATCGAGATTAGTCTCTGAGGCTTGTAAACGAGAGTTTTTAATTGTCAGCCGCTTGAAGTCTGTATTTACATAAGGTTTCAATCCTCCCCAAGGTGCTATTAAACTCGCCTAGTTTATATATTCTCTTTTTAAAGCGGTCTTTAAAAGTTTTTTATTGTCGGAGCTGTGAGCTATTGAAGTATTAGGTGAACGGTAAAAATTTACTTCGGAATGTGCTCGAAAGTCGATTTGTATAAAGTTTTTGTAAGGATTTTTTTATTTGCCTGCTAAAGCGTCCCACAACTGGGCTGAAGCCTCTCCTTCGGACTTCGAACTCTCTCCATTCACAGCGATTTCCGGTCAGTCATATCTTGCCTCACCTGGCCACACTGTCGACGGCCATTTTATGACATCCATAGCGATAAAATACATAAAATCTCTATGGGTACATACTACCTCGTGTGTTCATTATGTTTTGAGACAAACTTTGACTATAAAAAATAAAACTAAATATTATAATTATTTTTTTAATTTTGAACTTGGAATGTTTGTGTTCTATTGTAAGTTTCTAAATTCGTTTCTATTATTTTCTCGTGATGGACGGAGCTAAACAGTTAAGTGCGGCCATTGACTTACAAATAAATGGACGACCTACTACAAAAACCACGAAAAAAATGTCCCAAGTCAACCTATTTAAACGTAGTGACATGTAAAGGAATATGAAAAAGCTAAAACGTTGAATTTAAATTGTAATGTCATCGCAGTACTGCCTAATTTTGCTTGCTTCGCTGTCAGTCGAACAAACGAAGACTAAAGCGTGAATGACGCTCTGTATACGATTTTAACGCCCTATAATTTCGGACACTTTTTAGCGCGGACCCGACGTCCATATAATTGTAAGTCAATGAGTGCGGCTGTAATTTGATTACATATGGCAGGAAAACACCAATGAAGATTTTCCGCGACATAAAATCTTATTTCGTCTCAAAACTTATGAACACACGAAGTATAGATATGGCCAGCCCAGCCCCATTTTATCCTGACGGTTACGGTTTTTTTGCCTACGTCAGCTATACGAGTTTTGGAACAGACCGCGTTGTTTTGATCCCGATCCATCTTTTTAACCCTTAGAGGCTGATTTCCATAGCTATTTGGCAAGTCTTTCATTTGCACTTATGACAAGGATCATGTGTGTGTATCACTAGGAATTATCATCATCGTCAGGAATTATCATTAGAACTAAATTTTATTAATTGATTACGTAAGATAATGCAGAGTCACCATCCAAGTTTTTTCTGGCAGTACCTAGGTATCATACAAAGATTCTATTTTTGAAAAACATTGGTAGCACACACTTTCATAATAAAATATTTTATCTAGAAGAAGTTTTAAAATTGTTTGGGCACCTACTTAAAATTGGGGCGACGACAGACGGCGATGCGAAGGGAAGGATATCCCGTGTCGGGGATGTAATCATTTCCTCTCTCAGTCTCTTGCACAGAGCCTGTTCGATACATGTTACTTATTTATTTATATATACAGGATAATGCCTTCTATTAATTTAGAAGTTGAGGGTCATTCGAAATGCATATTTTAATTTTTTTAAATTACTGCAATTCAAGTTAATAATGAAGGAATTAAAATATTTGAAAATAGTCAATATGCGTTATTGTTTAAGTAGAGATTGAAATGAAATGTTTTGAAGTCGAATATGCAAATTGTTTTTCAGAGTGCGACCGCACGTTCGTGAGCCGGGGCGGCGGCGTGGGCAACGGCACATTCCACGCGCCAGAGCTCGTGAACCCCAGCAACCAGAGCCGCCAGTGCCTGTACACTTTTCTGGCGGCTGCCGGTCAGCGCGTGCTCGTCGAGTTCCGTACATTCGATCTGCGCGGCAAACCACCAGAGTGCGTATCCATTGAGATAACAATCCCCACCTCTTCATCGTTCCAATTCCTAATGCCTAAGAATACACTCGAAAATGATTGTAAAAAAGGCAAAGACTAGGGTCTTGTTAAGCATTAATAATTATTTTTTATTACTGCCACGCAGAGGTCCCAGGTTCGATTCCCGGGCCGGGAGAAATGTTTGTATGGCTTACATTTATTTCTCTTGTGAGTTTGGGTGTAATTTGTGGTTGTCTATGTGTGTGTCCATGGCACCCTCGACACAGGATTTCCCTAGAGCGAGGCTATGTTGAGTGTGTGCGTTATTTATTATTATTTATAATAACGTTACGTTAGCGTTACACTACAAATATACATAAAATGATAATTAGCAGATGCATAAAAGTGTTACTTAGATTTCGATTCGACTTAGAGTTAGATTCAGTACAAAACTATCTCTGGAAATAAGTCGGAAGTATAACACGGTTCGTTGGCTGAGCTGAATGTGCTCAAGCCGCGTGGCAAAATGTGCTCCTGGGAAGCGCGACGACGAGCAATCTCTATGCCGTTTTTACGAAAACAACTCGCACTACTTCAAAGAATGCTTAGAACTTAGAGCTGTATTTACTTATGTAGCCTAGTCTTAAAGAAATGAGAATGCGGAAAGCTCGATCCACATGATTTATTGTAGGAGATGATACGACAGGAAAAGGGAAGTTATAACAAATAATAAAATGGTATAAAAAAGTACAATTGTTATAAAACGCTTGATATAAAAGTAAGTAACGATATATGCCCCTTACATCTTTGATATTTAAAGCTCTGAGTGGCATTGCAACTGTTAAGGAAAGGCGTGTCGCTTACTACCAGGCGCTTGATTTGTTCGTCCCGTCGCTTGGTGTTATATAAAAAAAATTGTGGAAAAAAATTGTGAAAATACAAAAAAAAATAGATTCAGGAGTCCATGTTAATAAAAATGGAAGTAAATTTATTTCCTGCTCCGCGAACCCAGCGGAGGTTAAATCGGGCAAAATAGCTACGCTTGTATTGTTTATTTTTTAATGCAGTTAATTTTCCCACTGTCCCTCCGTATAAAATTAAAAACACAGTCACAAACACCATCATTAAAAATATACCCGACACGTATTTCGTCATTCTACGAGGCATTCTCGGGGGTTATTGATTGTTCAATCGAGTAATAAATAACTCTAGATAGTATTATTTTATAATTAAAAGTCTGTCTGTACAGTTTTCAAAAGTCAATAGTATTTCCTATGACGTGGAATTAAACACCACAGGAATCCATTATCAATACGTTGCCACGCCGTTGCCTCTGACATTTGCCTTTATCGTTTGTCTTAATAGCTGTTGTTTTTCGCAGTGGTGCCGCGGTGGGGGAGCTTCCAACGTAAGTACTCATCTTTCTCTTTTACTCTTATTTCCATCTCTACTGGAACGAATGGGACACAAACATGTTTTCATCGGAGAAGTATTTATTGGTGTACACCAATAGTCAGCGGAATTAGGTCAAACTAGGCCTGAAATGTATGGGAAGGTAGATTTATTTACTCTATCTGTAAGCGACATTTATCTCTCGCAGAACGTGCATATAAATCAAAACTTAGCTGAACATATTTCAAAAGCGGCGACGTAGTTAGTTTTGTTTTTCTGTTATTTAGATTCTGCGTACGGAGAAAGAATAATTCGACGTTTTGCCGAACAAATTATGTAAAACAAAAGTTTTAATAACGTCGCGATGTGAATGTTAAACTTTGGAATAGAATTAGAAGCATCATTCCTTTTAGCCATTTCAGTACGATATTGCACCTGTTATGGACAGGCGTATCGTTTACCATCAGGCGCACGGCTTGTTTGTCCCATCACTATCAGAAAAAAAGAACTAAAAGGAATCTCTTTCCAAGATGATTAGAGTACACTATATGTTTGTTACTTTGTATTGTTACTTTAGTCATTAAGAATTAAAAAAAAATACAAAATCTTTAGACGGGGATGTCATGGTGGTCTAATAGTTTGACCTGCAGCCTCTCAAACAGAAACTGTGGGTTCGAACTCGGGCTCTCTGAATTCCTCGGAATTTATGTGTGATAATTCAATTTGGAATTTAGAATGAGCTTTTCGGTGAAGGAAAACATCGTGATGAAACCTGCACGTCGAAGAAACTTCACAACCATTGGAAAGCGTCTGAAGTCCCCAACCCGCATTAGGCCAGCCTGGCGGACTATGGCCTAAAGCCTTCCCTGTGAGGAGACCGGTGCCCAACACTGGAACGTATGAATGGGTTGTTGATAATGATTAGACGGGAATATAAGTTATTTTAACTATGTTTTTGCCAAAATGCAATCGGTCTTATGCCTCGAGGATGTGAGTAAATTTATCCGTTTACTACTACTAGTAACTACTAGTAACTAGTACGTAGTACTACTGTTTGTGCAAAAATTTATTGGCTACCAATTTCTAGGGATGTCCTACTTCTTTAGTACCACAATTTGTTATAGTTAATTAAATATTGACTGCTTTTCCAGATGTTTTCACGAGTACATGGACATCTACTCGGAAATGGCGTCTTTGGAACAAAGCGAGCTGGTGAACTCGGCGTTTGGCGGACGGTACTGCGGGCCCATACCACCGCGGCGCCGCGTATCGCTGCATCGCGCCGTGGCCCTCGCCTTTTTCACCGACAA